CTTTATGTTTTAAGGCCAAGTAGATAATATATGTTTTAAAATACCAAAATAATATTTATTAATTAACATTTATTTACCACTTAAAACTTTCTAAACATGGACTCTATAACGTTAGTAATAGTAGGCCTATTTGTAGTTTAATTTAAGAATAAGGCCTAATGCATAAAACGTAACATAAGGCTTAGCTTAAACATTACTTGGTGAATTTTATTTTGCTTTTGGCTACAACTCAATGTCATAAAACTTTCTAAACTCGGACTCTATAACGTTAGTAATAGTAGGCCTATTTGTAGTTTAATTTAAGAATAAGGCCTAATGCATAAAATGTAACATAAGGCTTAGCTTAAACATTACTTGGTGAATTTATTTTGCTTTTGGCTACAACTCAATGTCATAAAACTTCTGAATTAAACTATTTTGCTGTTATATCACCGAAATTATCAAAAAGAATAAAAAACAAACCTGAACAATTTAAACTACAATTCGTGTGTAACAGAACATATTTCCCTAGCTTTTCTCTTTCTATTGTTTATAGCCCATTTCAGCCTTTTGGTTTAGTTTCCTTTTCTCAGCAACTGGTTTTGAGCAGCTTGCGCGTTCAATAAAACCCCTCAATATCTTGAGGTAACATTCAGTCATTTATTTATAACAAGGCTGTTGCGAAAATGTTTACTCGACCGTCGTTAAAATGATGGATAACATACACATAGATGCTTACCATCACTATTGGAGAGCTTGGTTTTCTATTCCAAACACTGAAATAAGTAAAGATTGCAGTAATATTCAATTTACTCTTAATGATATTGAGTAATGATAGAGTACTGTCTTCAATACAACGAAGATTAAGGCTACTTGTTAATAATAACAATAAAAAAGTCTTTACTCTTTATTTATGTATACGGCTTGACTCGATTATCTGTCTCTATCTCCCTGTCTGCTATTCAATTCTTGCCGTCACTTATTTGCCGGCTTATATACTGTAAAAGCGCGAGTATAGCAAACGCTCGAGCCTTCACGAACGTTCGAGATACTCATTACGTGTTACCAGCGTCACGTGACTTCCGCTGTCGTAACAATATATATATACAAAATGGCCAACCCGTTATTTTTGACTGGTCGGGAAGCTAGTTTGTGATAAAATTACCGTTGAATTATTTCAATGGGAATATACGGGTCTGTCTTTTTTATATATTGTTACGTCTCTGGTCGTTTGTTAATTTCGCGAATAATTTCTTTTGGATGAAACCTTAGCGATACAAGTCCTTTCTTAAATAAAACTAGTTTATTATTTCTCAATACAACTTTGCAATACACTTAATTTCCACAGTCACTTTAACTTAAACACACACTATAATTTACAACGATTCACGCACTTTACTTCTAAACTAAAAAGAGAGGAATGACTAGAACAGAAATAGCTCATCAACAAAGTTGGTATCCAGATCACGCTTGTAGAAGTTCTAATGGAATCAAGGTCCATCATTGGAAAGTTTAATAAAGAATCCAAACAGAGACCATATTTTGCTGTAGGCTGCTAGTCGATGTTACAGACTTACCAAAAGCCTGTCGATACACTACTGAAGAGCCTTACAACGAAAAGCCTCCTTTGGTGTCAGCTCATGAAACGTTTAGTGACCAGTATCCAAAACATATAAGATTTGTGAGACGACTTTGAGTCATAGTAGTCCGTTGCAAGATTTTGATCAGCTTCATAAAAAGATCGTTCACCAGAACAGTTAGTGATAATTAGTGTGAGATAGATGTACAAAGTAATTTCTGTGTTAGGAAAAGTAACCCGAATATCATTGTCAAGCATGACATTATACACAAGTTGTTCTAAGCTAAGCCTTCTTTTTTCCATAACGAGTGTTGAATAGAACATTTTTGGCAGTATTGACCACACTGATATTATTCACACATTTGCCAGCCAAAAGGCACGCAAAGCATTGCTTTGAAGTAAATAGCATACATATGTAAATTTGCTATAATCGTAAAATAGGGGGGTGGGTAAATATGGAAATATAAATATGTGGGGCCATTCGCTGAGGTTTGCCAAGGGCCCCATAAGTGTTTAAACCGGCATTGAGAATCGAGTGGGTTACATTATTGAGATGATTGATATACGTATAAAGACTTATAAAATCAAACACTGTGCTGGTTTAATTCATCACTATGTACTTAATACCGGACATACTTGTAGACATTAATGCTGTGGCGAGCTACTACGCATTTCACCCGTGGCGCCACAGGCGACATGTTCGGTTCACAGTCGATATTCGACTGTGCAATAGTGTTAAGATACGAAAAAAAAAGAAGAAAAAAAACATTTCTAGGAAATATATTTGAACAAACAAATTGTAAAATGATGTGAGGTCAAAGGGCCCAGCAATTCAAAAAAAGAACCTTCATTATCCTTCATTTAGGCTAATAAATTTACATTGTTAGAACAGCAGTAGGCTCTGAAACTAAATTCCATATTAAACCAGAGAAATGACTCAAAAAATAATTATGTTGAAGCTGGGAATAATTCACGCAAACATTAACAAAGTAATAATCAAGATTTGATATTGAAGAAGACTAACGAGTCAAAAGTTCGCAAGTTGCCATCTACAAGTGGAAATCGGTGAGTTTTCATGTGAAAGATAACTGGAGAAATTAAAATCGCAGCAAACCTTTGCAACTCTGGCCTTGGAGACCAAAGTCCACGCATGGTGGAGAGTGTGTGGAACGTTTGTAGAGACGTGTAGTGTAAGCTTGAACTCATCGTCTTTCATAAAATATATATACAACGGCGATTTTGGTGTCTCGAACAACGCGTAATAATGGTCATCAGACTGAGGATGTTTAATGATGGAAGAAATA